AAATAGCCGTACCACGACCACTGACCGATTAGAGACCGTCTGTCGCCTAAATATGCACGTTTTATATTTTGGAGTAAAATTTAATTACCTACTAGGAAAACATAAAATATTTTGTGTAGAAGGTATATTACTACTTTATGGGGGTGTAGGTACGCAATTTTTAAATTCCTTATTTATGTTTACTACAATAAACATAAATTACGAGGATCTTTCAATGGTTTTAGTACAAATAGAAGGGGTGTTAAACTCTCGTCCACTATCTCCATTGTCATCGGATCCACAAGATTTGACCCCATTGACTCCGGCACATTTCCTGATTGGAAAACCATTGATCGCAGTTCCAGAAAAAAATGTTTCTAACATACTGGAAAATCGTTTGTCAAATTACCAACGCCAACAAAAAATAGTTCTACAGTTTCGGTGAAAACGTGAATGTATTTCAAATCTTCAAACACGAACTAAATCGTTTAGAGAGTTTCCAAATATTCTTAAGTTGGATACTTTGGTTGTAGTAACTAACTAAATAATTAATTAAAGAAGATAATATACCCCTATTCAAATGGAAACTTGGTCGAGTTATTGAACTTCCCCTGGCTGTATTGCCGTGGCCAGAGAATTGTGTCAAGACATATAATACGTCATACCAGGCATCATCTACTCTCTGTGGTCATGTCTCACGGGTAGAGGGTGTTGGGGAGTCTTGGCTTAACCGCCCGGACCATGAAGAGACAACCTCGCCAAAAACCTAAATCCTACGATGGCGGGATCAGGTCAAAGGAATGCGTGACTAGATAGAAGACTAGCTTTACCGGTCTTAACCTTGGGGCACCAGGGGGCACCCCATTTTATTTACCCCTTTCTTCTACATGCGAGGCTTTGTAAAAGTGGACCGATTATCCCTAGCCACTCGTGGGAACACTATGAGATCTAGTATTAAAAACACCACCGATGAAGTTGTGGGGAAACCCACTAGCGACACTGGGAACATTAACAATAAAAGTTCCAAGGGACCAAACCCAAAAGGAACTACAAGAAAGGCGGCTGATACTTGCGCCAGATAATCTTCCACAAGTGGCACATAAGCTACCACCTCCTCCAGTCCTCGACCAAAGGTCGGGAGCCTACCTCTAGACCCAATGCTACACAGGCTACCATTTCGTCTACACGGCTTGGATCAACCAGGCGGTCTAGACGATCCTCTGAGAGTAGGTCTTAGCGGAGCAGAAGCACGGGGATACCTCCGACTGCTCCACGAAGGACGTGGTCCAGAGGAAGCAAAAGCAAAAATACCCCTCGGAAAAAAGGAAAGTAAAGGAAATAAGAAACAGCCTGGCGCATTTCCACCAAAGGACAAAAGAGGGAGTGAGAACCTTTCACCTCTGCTCCCGGTAAGGAGAGAAAGAAGCCAGGATGGAACACAACGATCGCAAAACAACGATCTACAAAACGCAACACAACGATCTACAAAATGTGGACCAGCTGCGTTTTGCGGGGATACCTATACTTTCGGGTGGACATGATCTTCATTGATTGTGTATCTCAAGAATCGGCGGATTGGTTGGTGGAAATCGCACCTAAGCTTAAAAATTGGCAAGGACCGGGACTGGTTGCAGTGAAGGGAGAAAGTAGTGCTAGCCACATTGCCTTCCTTGTATACCGGACGGCTCTAGTATGGCAAGCTGTACCATGCTACTCCCAAGGCGTTAAACGCTATACACGGGAGCTATTATATTAGTATAAACTTATCGGCAAAAGCATTTTCGTAGTTCCAATTTTCGGAGTCGCGCATTAGTTAGGTTACTAGTTTGCGCACATAGCACGCCCACTTATGGCCTCTAAAATTATGCACAGCGCCTGACCGGCCTAGTCATTACGCTGTTTAAACGCGAGTTTATTTTTGCGCACAGGAAATTTTACTCGTTTGCTCAACCTCATAAAAAAACAATTTTCGTACCACGAATTAGGGACAAGATTTTTATCTGTATACATATAGTATACCTAATCTGTGGTCGCAGCATTAACCCCCCTCTCACTCATTCTATATTCTATATTGAACTTCATGAAGGTGTCGATAAAATTACGCGTGTTGTAACACTCAGATGTAGTGATGGTTCTTTGTGTGTAAACGTTCGGTTACAAAATTATGTGTTCTTCCCACAGGAGACTTTTTATTGATATAAATATTTCAAGGCCGGCGGTATGTTAGATGATAAGTATTTTTATCATTTATATGAAGATGCCAAAAATTACCGTTGTCATCGATACATGGTTATTATATAGATTTTTATTTTTTTGGTCTGTCAAGATAATTTTTTGAATTGTAAAAAGTACAAATATAATATGCCAATAACAAACGGACCCAAATCAATTTAGTTTACAGGGTGCGTCTCAAAAGTGACTCACCTCTAGAACGTTTTTATTTTTTCAGATAAATAAAAAACGAGATTTGGTATTTTAGTATATGACGTAAATAAGGATTGGTTGGGCGTATTCACTTCCTGTTTCACTGGAAATTACTACAACTTTTGATTTTTAAATGACACCCTTGGTATTTTTTTAATTTATTCGATAGAAAATTCTCTCTGAATAAAATGACATAGAATATGTCAATTTTTGACATTTTCGCCTGATGGTGGGAACTAAATCTTCCCTATTTAAGTTACGTTCTTTTTACCAGCTTTCAATATAAAATTGTCAGTGATCAGTCCCTTTGATATCGACTCCTCAGATTAAAAAAATATTTAAAATACTTTACTTTTCATATATCTAGTATTATTGTACGTATACCTTCGGAGTACGGATATGAGAGTACGACTATATATCTCTATTCGATGTTTTCCGTGCTACACTCGCTCTGAATGAAATTTTTGCCAGCTGACATAATATTTCGCGACACTCTAATTTTAGAAAGAGGGCACCAACACGTGTATCGTACGGTGATTTTCATCTTCACTGGATATACTTTCTAACGAAAAATTAATAGTTCGATCGATTTCACTTTTGTTTATGTATTATGATTGATTGAATGATTGATTAGCACGTGTCGCCATCAAATTATCTCTTTAATAGAAAACTAAAAATAATTAAAATTGTTTTCTAACATATTAAGTTTCTCGCCAACTCAATGTCATTCACATCATACTCACTTATTTATACAAAGTATCCCAATATTTCGTGGGCATAGAAGTACTGCATATTTTTGGAATCAATATTACTACCAGAGTATTATTAGAGTTATTAGAGTTTTAGAAAAGTGCAAATATTTTTAGGGGTAGTTATAGGGGTAGTAATACAACTCTCTGGGCACCGAATATAAACTGTGCTCTGGGTCTACACTTAATTTTTCCTCGAGTTTTCCTTCACTTAATTTTAAAAACACAAAACAAACGTAATAACACGAACCAAAATGCAAAAGCTAATAATGTTTATAATTTTCCAGGAAGCAGGTTAAAAAAGTCCTGAAAGGGTAAATTTCCCATTGATTATCCTTATAAATACAGTAATTTCAACAAATGACTAAAAAGCAGTGATGGGATAACTCGAGCGAAAATTCGCTTGAGTATTCGATTATTGAAATAACCGACATCGTTCGATTATGAACGAGCAGTGCAAGTGACGAGTTACGAACGACGAACGCAATCGATTCTAGAATTAAATAAATTGAAATCTGATTTTAATGTGACATACTCGATACAAAGCCGAGCGAATTTTCTACATACATTGCAGGTAGCAAATTTATACGACGTTATCCGCTGCGTATCTGAGTGACAAAAAAGACCCGCATCGACAATTCTTTAAACCAAACTAAATCAAGCGAACTACTTGTCGCTTGCTACTTGCCATTCATCACCGAAAGAATATGAGCTCTCCGCACGCAACTTACTGCTTGGCGTTAAAAGCGACGGGCGAAAAACCGTATTTTCAAATACGAGCAAAATTTCGCTCGAGCGATCGTTTAAAACTCGAGTACCTACTCGATTATTGAAGTTAATCGGTTTTTCCCATCACTACTAAAAAGGTAGGTCTTTTTTACGTAAAAAAGTTGCTCTTCGTTTAGTCAGAAACTGTGAACGGTTTTCAAGATATTTACGTTTAAATATTACGATGCGTCGATTTTAGCATTAGAAAATTGATAAAATGTAAATAAATTATCAATTAATTAATCTCACGATTTCGCTAATATGTACTTTGCTAATACTAAAATCGATGCATCATAATCTTTAAACGCAAATATCTTGAAAACCGTTCACTGTTTCGAATTAAATGAAGAGTCATTTCTTTGTATTCATTCTATTCATTCGTAAAAAAGTCCTAGCTTTTTATGTCATTTGTTGAAATTACTGTATCTATAAGGATAAAAGAAGTACCACAAGTAGTACCTTCTACCCTAATGGAAAGTACCCTTTCAGGGCTCTTAACGGAATTTTACTATTTACTATTTTTTTGACACCCTGTATATGTTGTAGATTAAATTTAGAACGAAAACAAAAACCCAGAAAAAATCCAGTGATTCTCAACATTTAAGTATTTTTTTAAAATTTTTCACAGTAACATAAGTTGATTATTTTAGACTTATTTGAACAACGGTAAAGAGAAAATATGTTTCTTTTATCGAGAATTACCAGCCCAGATAATATTTGCACTTATTTAGGACTCACGCTGTATATAATATAATCATATAATAATAGGCGAATTGGACACAATTTACTTCTATACAAAAGTTCTTCATTTCTCCGTTAAATGGTATCAATCAAAAATAAACCTAAAAGTTAATTAAGTCAAAAATTAGTAAGCTCATTGTCAAAGATCATTTGTGGCGCTGACATAATAATCTCTTTTGAAAGTTTAGAGATGGTTTAGAAGTAAGTTAGTTCTCTCTTGCCAACTGTTTTGTAAATTATATAAACTATGAAGATTGGTCTCATAGGTGATAACATAGTACAACTTAGCAGACTCTCTGACTAAACAAAACAACTACTATGAAAATGTGGTTTACTTACCACCACTATAAAGATTAGCCAACTCTTGAGCCCCTCGATGTTGGGGACCCCATCTGGGACCGGTCACCACCTCCTGAGGTTCTGCCACAGCACAATTCGCGTTCGGGTCATCCTCCAGCATAGAGTTCTCCAGAATGTCGCGTTCCGTCTTGACCGGTGCCAGCAGGTTCGTGGCCACAGCGTCCACCAAGGGACATTCTAGCACCTGGTTGACTTTCGGCGAACAACTGAGAGGTATCGTTGGTAACGCCATCCTGGAAAATATACGACACAAATTATTTCCAAAATATCAGGAGAATAACAATTTACCTGTCACTTAAAACGGGACATTTATGTCATTTTTGACTGTTGGCTGATATTTAAATTAACAATGAAAGGTATACATGGAAACATGGTAACTATGTCTAAATCTAGAATTCCATTATTATAATACAGATTTATCGTTCATAATTAAATAGATAGAACGACGTAATCTATACTAATATATAAAATCCTTAAGTGACTGACATACTGGTTAATCACGATCCCGCTCAAACCGCTCAACGTAAGAAGCTCAATTTTAGCATACAGGTTGATTCTAGGGTGTAGAGGTCCGATAAGAAAGGATTTCACTTCCAAGAGGGTGAAACCACCCCTCAAATATTACAATATTTTTTATTTAAAAAACAGTAAAGTTTCTGAAAAAACGCTTAAACAAGTATATTTTATTTTGTTTTTTTACATTTTTAAGATTTTTTAAAAATGTATACAGGGTGTCTCGAAAAATGTGGTCATTGATTAATCACGATCCTGCTTAAAGCGCTTGACGTAAAAAGCTGATTTTTTGAAAACAGATTGACTTTAGGGTGTAGAGGTTCGATAAGAAGGGATTTTTCGAAACTCGAATTCTAAGGGGGTGAAACTATCCCTCAAATATTAAAATATTTTTTATTTAAAAACCGGTGAGTTTTTCGAAAAAACTCTTAAACACGTATATTTTATTTTGTTGTTTTATATATTTTAAGATTTTTTTATAAATTTATACAGGGTGTTTAATAAAATACGCAACCATTGAGTAATCACGATTCTGCTTAAACTGCTTGACGTTTAAAGTTGATTTTTGGCAAACGGATTGACTGTGGGGTGTAGAGGTTCGATAAGGAGGGGCTTCTCGAATCTCAAATTCCAAGAGGGTGAAAACGTCCCCCAAATATTACAATATTTGTTATTTAAAAAACGGTTAGTCTTTCGGGAAAACGCTTGGACAAGCATAATTTATTTGGTTTTTTTACATATTTTGAATTTTTTTAAAAAATCATACAGGGTGTTCCAAAAAGTTGTGTAATTTCTTAACCACGATTCTGCTTAAACTGCTTGACGTAAAAAGCTTATTTTTGGCAAACAGATTTTTCCAAAGCCAAATTCCAACAAGATGAAACTACCCCTCAAATATTACCAAGTTATATAATAATATCGCCATATTATTTTTTCTCATGCTGACATAAATGTGAGAAAATTTTATCCAGTTTGTATGTTAATGGAAATTCTTGCTTTGCTTTATCATCACCGTTACAAATGATTAATTCGACGCGAACGAAGTCGCTGGTACACGCTAGTTAAATAGATATAGACGAACGAAATTTAAAATTAGATTTATCACCAGCAGCGTTCAAGCAATTAGATTTATCACCAGCACTCTACTAAAGTATGTCCCCGGATTGTTCTAACAAGAAGAAAAACTTTTTTATTATTGACATTTTGAGAAAAATCACCCATAAAAATTTTTGCTTCTTCTAAAATAAATCTTTTTTATACTTTTCCAAATTTCCATAGAGTTTTAGTTAAAATAAAAAAAAAATAAAAGTGTAATTGATTTTTTTTGAAGTCCTAAAAATTAAAACGTGTATCTATGGTAATATAATTCCGTTTTCATTCTTTCTGGGATACTTTAACAACAGCAAAAAATATCACATTAAACAAAATTAATAAAAACCATCTATCAAAGAACGAAATCTAATTTTTATTAACACAGAAAAGATTTTTAGGTCTTCAACCAGAGAATCTTCCATATTTTCATGTTCCTTTTTAATTTTTTCTAAAACAGTATGGAAATTTGGAAAAATATAAACGGGATTAAACCATTTTAGAACAAGCAAAAATTTTAGTGCAGAGTGCATATTTTTCGAAATGTCAATATTAAGAAATCTTTTCCTCTTGTAAAGACAATCCGGGGACTACTGTATACTGGGTGTTGTCAAAAATGGCTCACCACTATAACTTTTTTTTCGGTAGAAAATTACACTCTGAACAGAATGACATGTTCAAATTAAAAAAATAGCATTCATTCATTTTAAATTTCAGTTGAGGGTGCCATGGTCATAAATGTAACGGCAATTTGATTCGAAATATCAAATGTGTTTTGCCAAATTATTTCCAAAAAAATGCTTTTCCAAATATGCTGATGAGCTACTCTAGTTCCATTTGAAAAAATTTTAATTGAAAATGCAAATATCTATTAAAACATAACATAATAGATAAATATTATAGGACCTTAAACGAGAAAAGAGTTTGATTTCGACCGATAGAAAGTATCAAAAAACTTTTTCATATAACACAGGGTAGTAGTAAAAAATAATATTTTAATTATTGTTACCGAGTCCCGAACGAACAGGGAATTTATTTCGAGGCAAAAAGATCTGAACCCTATAATTGGTAGTATTAATTACAGTTTCCGGAACCGTACTAAAATATTTTCGTTCAGTGATTGTGGAGTGCGTCAATCAGCATGCAAGAATTGAAAATAATATCAAATTATTAAGTCATGAGAAAGTAAACATGAACACAAATGAACACAAGCGAAAAAAAAACGAAAACACATAAATAGCTTAAAAATTACTTCAAACAACATCATCCAACCTCGAAACCAACCTAACTAAATTTGAAAGAAAAACTTACATTTTCATTTAAAGATGCAAATACCTATAAAAACTTAACTCAAAAAATATATAATATAATACATTTAGCAATATTATACTAAATAATAAAATAACATTATTTAAACTTCAATAATTGCTAATAAACATTACAGAAACTTCAAAATAACTTCAGAAGTAAGAACAGTAAGAGATAGCATCACTACTTCTTTAGAAGAGTTTAATTTTTACAGTGGCGGATACAGGGGGGGGGGGCCCATGGAGCCCGGGCCCCCCCTAAAATCTGACAATTGGGTTAAATATTAGGCTTTTAGGTTAAAAATGGCGCCCTAAATGGCATATTTGGCATTATTTTTTATTTGGCCCCCCCCCTAAAATAAATTTTTTAATTATTATTTCCGAGTCCCGAAAGTACCAAAAGAACCGGGAATTAATAATTTTGTGTCCCGATTTTTTGATCTCTCAAAAGAGCCGGGATTCCCGGTACTTTCGGTAACGGGATTTCCCGGTTCTGAACACTAGTTCATTCCCATTATGTGGAATACCAAATAAATAATAAAAAAATCAGCCCCGATTCACAATGCAATTTAACGAAATATATTAACGTCGATGAAATCAAAATAAATTTTGCTTTCATTCATAAAATTGTAAATATATGAATCTATTAAAAGATATTGTAAAATCGGGCACTGATCCAACAATATATTTATAATATTAAGACGCTTCTTGTCCACACCTTTTATATTTAAGTTAAATAATCTCAAGAATCATCATATTTTAACTAAAAAATGACATTCCTTTAAATATGAATGACACAAATCGTAACATTTATTTAATTAAAGTCTGTCCACCATGACAGTAACAGTTGTTCAAAGAATATACTAAGTCAATGTCTGTCGTTTTAATTTTTTTGTGTATCAGAACTTAAATTATTGACACTGACACTATCCAACGCTTTAAGACACTCGAAAAAGTTCCTCAGAACTTACGACAGAGACAAATCAAGAATTTTCCTTGATTTAAGGTGATTTAAGCAAAAACAATCTTCGGTTTGTCAATATGACCCCTACTTGTAGAGGGCGCCACCTACGTATTTTTTGACTAGTTTGAAGAGTAATAACTTTTCGTTCGTAGTTGTATATAAAACTACTGAGTAAAAAATACATTTACGACGTTTTTTACGTATACAGGGTCTTTTGGTAAAAATCGCTACGATGTAATGATTCTCCAGATATTTGGAATCGAAATTATCAATACCTGCCATCAATGATAAATTAAACATATTGACTAAGTAGTTATTAGACTGAAATTATAAATTTGAAATGTTTTTGTGCTTGAACGGATTTGAAAAGTTCAAGGAAACTGTTTTAACATCATTTTTTCGAAGAAAAATATATGACTAATTTGAAAAAATAAAGACTTCCCAAATTTGTCATTTTATTTTTCAAATAACTATAGGTATACTCAACATGTTTATTTTTTGTCAATAATTACATGTATTGACTATTTCCATTCTAAATATCTTAAGAACGGTTGTTCGTAACGATTTTTACCAAGAGACATTTTTTACGTAAAAAAATCACGAAAATGTATATTTTTCCACTCAGTAATTTTATACAGGTACGGACGAAAAGTCTGGATTCAAGTTCAGTACGGACTGTACGAATAGTTAAAACACATGTAGGTGGCGCCCTCTGCAAATAGGAATCATATTGGCATCAAAATCAAATTTCTCGTGTGGAAAAACTCCTAGACACCAATTTTCATCCAAATATTGACGTTACTTCGGAAATTATTTGGAAAAAATCGAAATAAATATGAAAGTTATGTAATATGAACCCCATGTATTTCCGAAATTAAGCATTTTACGACATATACATTTATACGAAGTTTTTTACTTATTTTTATCTGCAGAATATTCTGCTGAAGTATCCATACAGTTCGGACCACCCTGTATATTTTTATAACAATTTTAATAACTACTAACATTTATTGTTAACTACAACGTAAAATGAAACAATAAATTGTTGAGTCATATTTGGGTCTGCCCTGTGTTATATTTTACATATTTTAAATAAAATTAGAACGGCACTCGTAAACCGAAATTTAAGTCAGCCATATTAGGTCCCTATCACCCTCACCCAATTTTTTTTTCTATGTCCCTTCTTTTTATTCAAAGATTAAACCTGTAAAAAAAAACAGACACCTGTTATTGCTGTTTATTTATCGATAGACAGACATTGTTCTTCAATTTGAGTAAAATCGCAAATAATACAAATAATATAAACTCGTAAATAATATGACATATCTTTCTCTAAATTTCAACACTAAATAAAAACTAA